AGGGGGAGTACGCTATGTAGGAACACGCGCACGTCCAGGGGGAGTGCCGTTAGGTTTGGTCCATAGTCGGTATTTCGCTGCATGTAGGAGTTGACAAGAGTCTTTCCGCACGTCTCGCTGAGGGGGAGTGTTGGAAATCAGCTTGTGCAGCTCGACGTTGCGAGACTTTTCGCGAGGTTTCCACGGTCAGGCTGAGTCAGCCGCGCCACCCGGCTCCGCCACTTTCAGTACATTGTAGAATATTCTAGTTACTTTTGTACAGTACTATAAATACAGTGAATGTAGGACTCGTTGAGGGCATCGAGTTGCCCTAACACGAGCCAGTCTCACCACTCAGCGTGATTGCAACCTTTCCCTCTCTCTCTCGCTCTCACTCGTCCTCTTTTCGTGCCACTCATCACTTTCCCACGAAAATCCAACAGTCTTTTGGGCAGAAAACAATACTTACGCAACTTCGTCTCCATAATACCCGAGGGCGATTTGCCCGCCCTTTACCCAGAGCTCCCCTCGCTCGTCGAATCCAGCCATGGACCCGTCAGTCTTGACCACCCTTGCCACGGTCCCAGAAACAAGCTGGCCGCCACTGCCCAGCGTACCCACCTTCTGAGAGATGGGGAACTGGAAGAGCAGAGGAGCAAAGAGGATTTTACAACAAGCTCCGAGGGGATACAGCCGAGTACACCTACCATGCTTACCGCAGCGCAGCTCTCGGTCATGCCTAGATATCGAGGTTGGCGCAGAGATCAGTTAAACGAGACTTCTGTGGTACACACCGTAGCCTTGACCAAGGTGTATGTCGGGCATGACATTAAGAAGTTCTGTCGTCAGCTCGGCAGATATGGGTGCAGCAGCTATCATGCAGTAGCGAACGCTGGTGAGATCATATTTGGGTGTGGCGGGGTGCTGAGTGATGAACTCTCGGTTACAACAAGGCAGTATAAGGAGACAGTATACCTTCATACCTTGCAAAGCAAGACGGCCATTGGAGGCACAATCCTTGTGGGTGACATCAGCCTTACAATGCCTGACAAAAGAACTGATATCATAGTTACTGCAAGTGAGTAATGCGGTAGCGGGCGATGTTTTCCAGAAATTTCTCGAAGACGAATTTCTTGGTGACCACAATGGTCATCTAAGGCAAGTGAGAAGACGAGGATAATTAACGAAGAAATAACACATACCGCCGAGTAGATCAGGTAATGCATCTGATGGCATAAACATAAGGCACACATGAATGGTTCGACAAAAGGCGGGGCTCACATTTGTCACGAGCCCGTATATATCTAAGCAGTCGTTTATGCCCTGTTCAGTCTAAGAAATTTAGGGGACGGTAACAAGACTTACGGTAGAAAGGCAGCACTGAGGAATTCGATGTGAGTGACAAAACGATGTTCCGTCAAAAGGACCGAGTTTGACTGACCACCAGTACAAACATCTCCGGGACGAAACCTGCGGTCCGCTAACGGGCAATACTCTTCATTAACCCAGTTGAAGGTAGCCGTCTGGATGACATTGCACATGACGTTGAAGTGAGAGATCGCTACAGCCTATGGCCCTGGTTAACGAGATCAACTGTAATGATTATGGAGTAAGTAGCTACCTTCGGTTGGCCTGTCGTTCCAGAAGAAAAGCAGAGAAAAGCAATGGTTGTCTTTGCTTCTCCTCCTCTAAGTTTAAACTCATCGAAAGCTGGAAGATATGCACCGTGCTGGATAGCATGATGAATGCTCAAGGCTGTGAGGGTCGATGCGTTCTCCTGGGCTGGTTGGACATGCTCTCCATCCAGCACGAGTATTGGAGGGCTCTTGGCCACCGTACGAGCAGAGGAACATACAGTGTCGAAGTTATCGAGGTGACCAATGAAGAAGGTTGGCTTTGAGATCCGAAGCAGTGGAACTAGCAACGAAAGGCAATGAACGCAGTTTCAATCGCTACCACAGGTTTGCAAGGCAGACAACTTTCGACGCACTCATTTCCTCCCGCGTTAAACCTGGGCTCATAGCGCTGCGCTGCGTTTCAGAGAAGCACTCGTTTTGTCGAGCGATGAGACACTCACGCGACTATACCTCCAAGCCTGTGGACAGCCCACACACAGACAGGATAGTCCACGTGATTCGGAGCAATTAATGCGACTTCAAAGGGTAGATGAGACAATGGTATGTCGACTGGGACACCATATACCACTCACCGACATCGCCCCGTCCTGGACAAGGAAGAGCTGGGTTAGACGAAGGACTGAGGAGGGCACAGAAGCTGTGTGCGTACCAATGCCATGAACGGTACGGAGAGTGCGGGCAAGATCATCTGTTCTATGTCGAAGCTTTTGTGTACATGATCAAGTTTGGCACAATCATATCATATTGCGCGAAGGTACTCACATCATCTAGAGTGACTTCTCGACCATTATCCTCGTCTATGAGACAAGGTATATTTGCTGGCCGTTTGGTGTAGGTCGAATGCTGTAGCACATCATCGAAGATAAACTGCGGGACGGTAAGGTCGTCCGGAGGAGGTACTAGAGGGCGAGCTAGAGACTTGAAGAGCATGGCGTCGAGGAAGGAAAGACAATTCAGGATACAGCTTGGCTACAGCCCGCCATGATCACAACGACTTACGGCGCCAAATATGCGCCAATAATAGTGTGGGCTCCTCGGACACGATCAAACAGTTTCAACCACTGTTCGCTGACAGAGGAAGTTACTGTATACTTACGCATGTTTTCTGCTACGAATACGACGGGTGGCGCGGAAGAATCCGGATATTGTCGTTTCCCCGGACCCCGAACACCCCTCCTCTGGCTTTCGTCACCTAACTTACGAAAACTTGCTCTTGCCGTTGGACACAGGCCGGGCTCCTTTCATACCAGAAGTTATCTTTGTAGAGATGAACGAGATACTAACGAAGCTTGTATATATAGAGGAGGTTGGAAGCCCTTCTCGCCACCCTACTAAGGTTAACCATAGAACCAAAGGAGGTATAATGGTAAAATATTCGTCAGTGAGCGTTCCATTGACACACCTACGTGATTCAGACCTCCGGGCGCAACATCTCCATGTCGTTTGGGTGCCACTCCTTGATCTTCGCCGCCACCTCATTGACAACGCCCGGAAAGATAAAACCTTTTTGCGGATACCAGCTACGCAACTCCTTCTCTGTCACAGGCTTGAATTTCCTCTCCTTCATCATATGGGCGAGAATATTCCGCATGTCTTCTATCTCAGTTCTCTGCTTCTGCTCAAGCCTGGCCATGCCGACCACAGTGACAAGCTGGGGGTACCTCTTTATCTTGGAGACTAGGCACCACTTGAGGTCTGCCGCGTAAATCCTGATCATGGCGGACTCGTAGAGGATTATGTTTTGCCTCTTCGTAATGGCGATCCATTCATCGCGAAGCGTGCCGTCCGGCGCGGTGATACCCAAGGACATGCTGAACCAGTCGCTGCCCAAGTTGCGAACACTGGCAACCGTACGGACGCAATCGTAGAAGATGGACCTCTTATGGTCGTCCCAGTCTGAACCGTAGTTGACACGGACGACGTCTATGTCGTCCGTCGTTTCGCGGTTTTTGAAGTAGGTGACGGCGAGATAACCGCCAGCAGAGACGTACTCGATCGGAGCACTAGTAAAATTTTCGTCGCTGAGGAGTGAGGAGAGGGTATCGAGAGCTAGAAGATAGAGGCATCAATGACTAGGCAGTGGTGACAAAGGTACAGGGTGGAAACGGTGGCGTACCCTCCTTCCACTGCTCCATTCCTGCAGGCACTGGCGGTCTGTCAGTGCGGAACATGGTCGTGGGTATTCGGTAGAGGCGATAATTGGTGCTTGAGAGGGTGGTGGAAAGAAGTGAGCGAGTGAAGATGGGGCCTTAGGAGTGAAGCAAGCCCCATTTCCTTTGAACGAGTGTACACTTACCTGGTTTAGGAAGGTAGCTCGCGAATGCGAGACGCAAAGTGAGTTATATTGAGAGAAAAGAAGACTTGAGCTTTATATACTATTCTACTGAGAACTATATATGATCAATCTCACGCCTCATGCCTTCGGCGAGGAAATGACTCGGAACTAGGATCACCTGGGTCTTGGGTCGCTCCTGGCGCTGTGGCGTCTTTTAGCAATTTTATACGATTGGACCAGTGAAGTAAGCATTACCTTGGAGCAGGCCAACAGACAGTTGCAGCGCCATGTTAATTTTCGAGAGATTCTGATTGCTCTAATGCAAAACCTTACCACCTAACCCATGTTCAGGAAACGGAGCTGGGGCAGAGGACGCGGTGCTTGCAAAGGACCTGCCGAAGGACAAGGAGACTGGGGAAGGCAATCCTAAATTATGGACAGACAGAGACTACGTAGCTACGCACTGGTACAGATTCGGACAATGGTATTGAAAGCACACACTTTCCAGCTCTGAGCATTGACCAGTAGCTCTCCCTAAAAACAAGAATACATAGAATAAAACGAGATCCCGAAGTGGGTGAGACGACGAGGGAGAGTAGAGAGAAACGGCAGAGTGGGACCTCCGCACAAGTACACAGCTTTGTAGTGCGCACATGCAGGTGCTATACGATCAAAGGTAGACTAGAAAGCGTGGTCGAAGACAATATTTGAAGTAGCCGTGGCCTGCAAGCGTGGATACCGGTAACTGAGTGTGCTTGCGACAGATGCTATCAGGACGAGGTATGACCTTGCACGGAGAGCCACTCGGGGAGATTTTCTACATGCAAAGGGAAATTCAGTCCAGCATCTAACCAGCAGGAAACTAAGCTGATGAATTGAGAGCCGTACCAGAGATTATACATTCCGGACACATCGGCCACGATATTCCGCTTGGTGAACGCAGCATAACCCCAGCTCGTGCCGTCATCCTCTACACTATCATCACACCCAATCAAAACACGCCTAGAACAGGGTGGCGCATGAATGGCCCAGTCAGGTTGATATTCCTTCAGTGAGACCTTCTCCTCCTCTGTCGCCGGTCGAAACTCAGGGTGATCCGGGTTTCCAGTACGCGTCAAACCCAGATCCAACCTATAGTTGATGCTCTCCGCCAAACTCTCCGCCACCCCAGCCAGAACAGCGTACCGAACAGGGTCCGGATCGTGAGGGTCCGGGATGTCTTTTACTGCCCACTCGGGGCGCAAGTGCCAAAAGTACTGCGACTCGAGCATGAGGCCGTTCATGTCGCCCACGCAGGCGACCTCGTAGATACGGTAGAGGGAGTTAAGTGGCGTATCACGCGCGACCCACCGGGGCGTGTAGAGTAACGTGCGCATCAGGGCACGTCGTTCGTAGACCAAGGCTGGGTTGCGACGAATCTGGGCAACGGAGAGTCTTGGTGGGAGAGGCCATTGGCTTGGGAAAGGCCAATAGATGGTCCAGAGGAGGCGGATGGGGTGCTGCGAACGGCAGACTCTGTCGAAGGAGGTAAAGTTGCGAAACCACCACCTATAACAGCGACTGTAGTAGCGCCGCCACAGCTGTCTCAAGCCTAGGATACCATGATGAGCTCTATAGCCTGGAGAATGGATGGGGGTTGGAAAGGACTTACGCACGAAAATCGAGCTGGAAAGCGTCATCGTGTGGTTGACAGGAGCTCAAAAGCGAAACGGAGAGAAGGAAGGTGCACGAGGTGTCGGAGTGCCAACGCGGCACTTGCCGTCAATGTTTCACGCGCGCAACTCGGATCCTTTTTGGGGAATAAAGCGCTTCCTTGTTGTCGCCTCGCTCTGTGTCCGATCATTGCTGAAGCTACGGGACAAGCTCAGGAGATACGAAACGGGAAGGAACTAGCAGAATGTTTTCGGAAGAGGGTCAAGAACTTTAGGACGAGCAAGGTGAAATTTATGGCAAACTTCCTCATCTCGCAGTGGCTCACTAGTGCTCAGAGTTGGATTGAAAACTCTTCAGAAGACTCGTAACGTATAAGGTCTGTGATCTTTACATTTTATGGCAGGGACCCGAGATTTGGTAGACTAAGTAGCAGAGTTACAGAACGTGTCTGGCTGCTAGTGATCAACACGGGGTCTGTCCATTGAGGGAAATCCTTTACTTGTAGTTGCTTTACTCTTCGCTTTGCTTCATATGTTCCCACAAATCAAGTCTTGAGTGTCACACCAACTTGGGTGAATTACAAGAAATTTAATAAAATCGACTACGCCACGGCTCACGCTATGTGCGTCGTGATATCTATATGTCCCTGTTCGACGACATACTCGTTCGGGCTGAACCTTTGTGACACAACATTAAATATCAAGAAGAGCATCAGATACACGAGCCAGTGGTTCAGACGCCTCACAATCTACTCTTCGGTGGTGTAGAGTGTGATTGGAGAAGGAATTGGTAGAGAGCGTCCGCTAGAATGAGATCGGCATAGAATTTCAGAAGATGGTCTCTACGAAGTAATAAACGGCATCTTGAGACCTACCTAACTCGTGTGGCGCTTCCTGGGGGAGCTGTTCCGAGATAAAGCGAAGATTCAAAAGAATGAGAGTTCCGAAAAAAAAGATGGGGTGTCCACATTGCTGCTTACCAGATGATCCACGTCCTCGAACCATACGGTAGTATTTTTGCCGGGATGCCTGTGAGACGTTTGTGCCTGCATCTCTCTGCCTCCACCTCTTCTGCTCTTACCACCCCATACCCAATGCAACGGAACCTCTGGGTTCAGCTCAGCGAGGAGATCCCAGGCTTCATAGACTATGGAGCGCTCAAAGAGCATCAACGCCTCCTGCAGCGTATTGTGAGATGAACGATGACGAGCCGTAAAGCAAGGGCGATTATGAAGTATGACACGTACGAAGAATGGATGCGTCTTCAGTCTATATTGGCCTTCAGCGGTCTCCGTGATGACATACCGGATGTAATTCTCAAGGACGCCGACATGCCACGGTCTGTAGTACGCGCTCTGCTTTATGCTGGAGACCGCTTCGTCCCTGTTTACCGCAACGTCGATAGCGTTAGTATGTAAGTCACGTCCAAGAAGATTCAGGATCAGAACAGTAGCTTGGCACACCTTGACTCCCATATCCAACGTCGCCGGAGACAGATCTCTTCGTTCTTGCGATGCATATCAAGATGCTTTATGGACAGTGGGGTGGTGACGGACTCAATAAGAATCAAGGAGGAAAATAAGCAGGGATGGAGGATCGACGGATGGATACTAGAGCGTGAATATTCGTCAGAATGTATCGACAGGGGTGCGCTATAGGCAGAAATACTCACAAAGCACAAACACCCATAGAGTGTCCCACACCAACCAACGTTCGGAGTTGAAGACCCTGCGTCTTTCTGCGCTGCACCTCCGCGTCTGCAAGTCGTGGAAGGTTGGTAGGATATCTCTTCTGTCGCAAACACGGAGAGGTGTCAGGGAGGAAAGCCAGCACAAAGTTCATGAGGTCTCGAGAGTAATCAGCACAGTCAACTGATGTCAATCAGCATCAGTATCTCGACTGTAGCGTAGCAAAGTTGAGGATGCGTACATGTGTCGCCCAACAAACCCTCGTTCAAGAGTCCAGCATCTCCATGCTGTACGCAATCCAGCATCCATAACTCTTCAACATTTATGCCGCAGGACGAAGAGTCTAGATGATAAAGCAATGACTTGATGGTCGACTCCCAAGTCTGAAGGGAGTATCAATAAGTGCCAGCCTGCATATATAGCCACTGCCCTTAGTCGAACCTCTTTGTGCGTACCAATGCCGTGGAGAAAGATGAGCGTCAATCGGGGCCGGTTATCGGTGTCTGCGTCGGGGGTTGACATTTTGGCGACGCGATTCGCTACAGTCCAGATGATGTTTCGATTGGCAGGTCTCGCATCGCGACCTGCTTCCTGGGCCTCCTTCTTGCTAGCGAGAGATTCTGTTGTTTGTCTGGCCCACTCCTTACTGCCGGTGGGAGAATCTTGTACAAAAGGCGGTGGTGTCCACGGGCTAGACGGACATCGAGGATACGCGGACGGAAAGACGTGGGTGGTGATCTCGTATCCAGGAGCGAATGATTCGGAGCGTGGCGGGCACGGCAAACATGGATAGTCTTCGAGGAGGACTGGTGACGGTTCCAAGGGCAAAAGAGTTCGAGACGGCATGGATCTTACAGCCGGGGGAATAAGGCGATGGGAAAGGAGGTCCTTGAACCTTGCTGCTCCAGTCGACAGAGCGGGAGCAAGGTGCTCTTATAAGCACGACTGGTCTCTTCCTCGGATACCAGGGTAAAACTGCTTTCGAACGTTTAAAGAAGACCTTTGCCCATGAAAAGGGCGGAAGGCCTGATGGGTCTACATTCAGCGCTCAGACGTCCAAGAAATGAAAGCCCGATGAGCAGGAGATAGGGGTGCCATCGTATGCAGCTCAGTGCAAGAATGATGGTGAGCGAGAAGCCGAACTAATACAGGTGAACATTGAGTTGGTCCATGACTGTCCTGGCAGTGCGGCTCGCCACACCCCAGGCGATGTTCCTCTTGAGTGCTTCCTAGTATCGCAACCTGCCTCATACTTCTCCTTCCTGCCAACAATATACACCGTTTCACGAGCCCTTTTACTCTCTGCAGGAGAACCAGTAGTGGGGGGCAAGAGCCGAGCGGACATCGCGGATACGCAACCTGAAAGAGGAATATAGAAATCTCGTATCCAGAAGTGAGCGATCCACGACGAGGTGAGCCACGCAGATTGTACAGGCATTAAGATGACCTGGCGGCGGTTCTAGATTCGGCAACAATGGTCGAGCAGACATGGTGGTCTCGTTCGTGGTGGTCGGTGATATTGGATACCATAGCGGGAAGGAAATGCTCGTTTTATGAGTAGTGCTCTGACGTATCCATGGCGGAGCGAAGAGCCCATGGCCAAATCGGTCCCGAAAGTGGTCCTACAAAAGTAGGAGCCCGTCAATTCTTTATTATAATTCCATTGCAACTCGGCAGTTATTCGACTGATGCAATAGTCACAAAGACTTTACTCCCTATATTGGTAAACGATTGGAAGTGTAGGGGCGATGTTAGAAGTCACGGTGCCCAGTGGGAACGAGCCTTCTGAAGAAAGAGGTGGTGTTCGTTCAGCTCCAAAGTTCATAAGAATTAAAAGATATGACAGGCTCGTCAAAGAGAACCTCTACAGGGTCATAGAGCCGACGGCTTGCAGCACCCCTACGTCGCGATTTTGTTCCAGTTCGGCATGCCCTACAAGGAGGGACCAAGGAATACAGGAGGATGAAAGCTGAGGAAAGCCGAGATGATGGTGGTGCACTCGTCGCAGTAAGTACATGGTGCTCAGGAAAGGAAGCTGGAAGCACGAGCTACGAAGAAAAATTCCCACGGATTCAAATCACTGGAAGTCGAAACTCTTGGCTCATTACGTTTGCTTGTAGCCGCCACCCCTACTTGCTCCCAGCTTGCTCCCAGCGGTCACCCTTTATTATTCTCATCAGGTCCTTGTCCTTCTTCGATGGCCTTGTTCAGTAGTGGTCCCGGCAGTCCTGGTGCCAATTGGCTTCGAGCGAGCCCGCTCGAAATTCTGATAACGCGAGCCACGACGGCGTCAATGCCAGAGCCCAATTATGCCATTCACCTCGAAGTCGCGGAGTATATCAACCAAAAGAAGGCAAACACGTACGCATCATCGGTTTCGACGATAATACATTCGTATGTGCGGACCCATAGTCTAATCTGTATGTAGACCTCGAGAAGCCGCGATGCTCATCGCTCGACTCGTGAACCACCGGAACCCACACATAGCCATGCTCACACTCGCACTCCTCGACACCCTCGTCCAATCGTGTGGATACCCATTCCACCTTCAGATCGCAACAAAAGAGTTTCTGAACGAGCTCGTCCGTCGCTTTCCGGAACGTCCGCCTCCATTCCCAGGTCCGGTTATGTCCCGTATACTCGAGCTCATACATACGTGGAAAGAAGGAATTTGCACAGACTCGAGATGGAAGGATGATTTGGGGAATATCAGGGACATGCATAGACTGTTGACCTTCAAAGGCTATAGGTTCAGAGATATGCCAAGAGGGAACAGGAACGAGACGGCTGTCGCCACCTCGGTACGTGTCTATCTTTCTTCGGTCTACTCGATTACTCTCGCGGAAAGATACGGTGTGCATTTGGCGGCACGATTTACTGGCCAGAGGACCGCTGGTGCTACTCAGACTTGTATACTCTGCCAGATCGCTTTCGTGTTCGCCGCGAGCGCGGAGTGCCACATCAGTCGTCTCTTCCGGCCGTCTTTCGGCCGCAAGGCTGTGACTGTCATCATTTAGTTGTTCTTTCGTCCACAGGACACGAACTGGGAAGACGCCCCTTCCTCACGCATAGTACCGCGTTAGTTCATGTCCTTGTACCTGTAGCGGCATAGACCAAACGGTCTACAACTCTGCATCTCTGCAAAACGACGCGGTTCGGCCCTGAGCCGCGATGAAGTCTCGATATGTCCTGGATCGCAAGGATATGTATGAATTGTGCTGATGTATACACATCGCGTTGTGGCAAAGGAACCAGCAAACTACCTTGTGGCTCTGATTCATGCTTGACAGTGCACCCACCTACGACATACTCTGACCCTCTTTGATCTCCACAGAATCTTAAATCCGCTGAAGAGCTCGAGGAAGAAGATCGTGAAGCCCAATCGGCCAAGCTGCAAGAACTCATTCGACGAGGGACTCCCCGAGATCTCGCGGCCGCGCAAGAGCTCATGAAGACCCTCGCCGGCGCAAATCCGGAAGCCAAGCCCGACTACAGAACGCAAGCGCTCACGGAACTGAACAAGCTCGAGCAGAAGGTCATCTTGTTGAACGAGATCCTGGACAATGTGGATCCAGAGAGGGGGGAGGCGTTCGCGAAGGGTGACGTTTATGATGTGAGTTTTCTTTTGTGGCGCTGTGGCGAGAATGCCACATTAAGTCGGTACTGATCACGAATTGGTTGGTTCTGGTGGATGAAACTGTAGCAAGTCGCATCGATATTGATCAGTTCCAGGCCGAAGATCCAGAAATGGATTTCCGACGCCGAATCCGAAGACCCAGAATCACTCGGTACGTCCTCATCCTCACTTCTTCACTTCCCTCTACTCATCACATCATTCCATGCGTCCCTCCTACGTCGTACATCCCTTCTCCCCACACCACGCCGCATAAATGCCGTACTACACAGACACCTACCTGCAAATCAACGATCAAATCAACAGCGTTCTCAACCGCTACGAATCTTACCAAAAAGGAGACTTCACGGCGGCCGCAAACCCCATCCCCGCTGAACTCGCAGGCTCGTCCGTGCAGAACGATCTCTCACTCATCGATTTCGACGACGCTCCAACACCACCTCCAACATCGTCACAATCACACTCCAATAACGGGAACGGGACACCAGCGGATGACCTGGCAGGACTATTTTCGGTGTCGGGGTCAGCGCCGGTGCACGGGTATGGGCACGGGCAAGGCGCCGGGTCGAACGGGAACGGGAATGGGAACGGGATTGCGTCGATTATGTCGCAGTTCAATGCGGCGCCGGCGCAACAGTCGAAGTCGTATTTCCAACAACCACAGCAGCAGCAGCAGCAAGCACAACATCCTGGTACACGAGCGGGCATGGGTATGGGTATGGGGTCACACCCAAGCTTTGGTGGTGTTGGTATAGGTGGAGCAATGGGGTCAGTCCAGCCACAGTACAGCGGGGGCATGGGCGGTATGGGCGGTATGGGAATGGGAGCAGCGTCGGGATCGGGGTCAGGAACGACAAGTCCCCAGTCCCAGTCAAGGCCGTCGTCACAGTTCGGACAGATCATGCTGCCGTCGACGCCTAAGCCGATGAGTCCTGTGGGAACGGGGACTGGAGGAGGAATGGCGGGGACGGGTGGCATGCAAGGAGGGCCACAGCACCCACAGCAGCAACAGGGACAACAGCCGCAGGGCAAGGATCCATTCGCGGATTTGGCGGGGTTGTTCTGAGTTTGTGTCATTTCCTCGGCGATCATTTCTCTTTCTTTTTCCGCTTTTGGATCTCCGTTTTCGTGTTTGTGTATGGACGATAGTATGAAGAGAGCGGACGTCGAAGAAGTCTGTTGGGTGGACCGTGATAAGGGGAATGAAGCACGCGACAGAACAGTAATGTGGAGCGTATTCTCTGCTGGGAAGGTCAATGGGGTCATGGTACGTTTGGCCAACTGACTTTGCTGTTGATTGTCCATCGTTCTGATCTCTCTTCGCATGTTGAATCTCGACGTCTGACGTTTTCCAGCTACCTTCGAATACCCCATTCTCAGATCCATTTTTTTGGCCTATTGTACTTCCTTGATGAATATCGAATCCGAGTCGCCAATCCGAAATGGAGTCTTATATGATAGACTTGTGGTGCGGAAGTCATACCGCTTTGATGAGCGGCCGGGCAGCGAAAAGCCCGGGATGGGCTCTTGCGATCCAGAGACCCCTTCTCTCTTTTCTTTGGTATATCTTAGAGCTACTTGTAAGGTGAATATGACATTGTTCTATATCGTTTACCACTAGCTTCAAGCCCCAGCAGAACCATCATCGTGTACTGCACAGATACGCCACGGTGCCACACGACATTTGGATTCCAATTGCGGGCTTCTGAAATTGTTCAGGTTGAAGTTGTGTCGGCGGCCGGACTCCGCGCACGTCCGTGATCCAGTACGTTGAAATGCTGCAGCCCGGGCATATGCCTATCTTCATCCTTCCCCTTATTTGATAGAAGCATTAAGTACTGATATGTGATATTACTTAGGTAGCTTGCTGCATACCTCTGCCGTGAAGGACACGCGTCCGAACGGCTTGACTTGCGTCGTCCCCAGAAGACGCCTGAGCTGCAAATTGCCATGACCATCTTATTATCTTTGATTCTGCTCGTATGGTTTGGTGATGTACTTGGAACTTGGCGTGAGGTATAAAAGACTTAGGCTTGGGCTTCCCTACTCGCCCTTATTCTCCTGCTCTCGTGAATTCTCACCACTGTCTCGCACGACAATGCTCGTCATCATTATCCGTTTATTCCTGCTCCTTGATTCGACATGCCTCATCGCTGCAGGAACTACGACCCCATGGCCGAAGGCCGTGTTGGTGTATTAAGTGAGGTCTTTCCTCCCAAGTCTCACTGGACTGGCGAAGATGTGCCCGATCTCTCCGGACAGACCATCATCGTCACAGGTTAAAATTCGTGGATTGGAAAGGAGACAGGCACGGTGCGTCCTTCCTGACCGTCGGCGGTCGTTGAATCCCTCGATTATAAACTAAGGTAGCTGACTGTACCTATGCTATTCGGCGTTGACGGTCCTCAGGTTCTTCTTTCGCGTAACGCTCGCGTTTACATGGCCGCACGATCAGAGGCAAAGGCGACAGCGGCTATTGAAGAGCTGAAGGCCAGCACGAAGAAGGACAATTTTCATTGGTTGAAGCTCGACCTTGGGAATTTGACTTCTGTGAGGCGCGCGGCAGAAGAATTCATGGAGAAGGAGTGCGAGTTGCATGTATTGTTTAACAACGGGTACAGGATGCATTGACTACTATGTCGGAATTTTTGGGGGCCGGATTATAAGGCCTTATAAGGCATTTAAGCCATTTCAGGCCGGCCGAGTCTGGTAATGATGACCAGGGGGGGTAAATCACATTATAAGCCCCCTTATAAGCGGGGCGCTTCTTAATAAATATTATGAATAAAAGGGGCCAGAAGGGGCCAGATCTCACGGCGCTTCGGGCACGCGGTCGGACATGCTAGTGTGGCCCTCTGTGGCCCCGCTCCTGCAAGCCGAGGAGTACAACAGCGATGATGATTGCAGTTTGCTATGTCTCGGCGGTCGAGCCACGGGTATAACGTTGAATGGTCACTTTCGTGGGTTGTGGCCATAGAGCGACATCCCAACGTTTGATTTGAGCGAGTTTGAAGGCATTTTCGAGCTGGGGGGCTCGGCGCGCATGCCTAATCGGGGAACAGAATCTTGCCACTTGGTCGGGAGTGATTATAAGTTGTCGGCCCGGCTGATAAGAGCTTTTAAGGCCGGTCCAACCATGATAATCGATCTTATCAGGCCATTGTAATCTAATCTACTTATAAGCTCCACGAAACTTTTCCGACATACTACTCTGATCAGTAGTTAGCTAACGCACCCTAGCAGAGGGATCATGGAACCAGGAAACGAAGACGTCACTGCACAAAGATATGACGCTCAATTCGGTGTAAACTGTCTTGGTGCGTACTGCCCTTTCATCCGGAGCGATCATCGTCTGTGCTCACAATGGACACTCTCATGATCATGACAGGACCTTTCTTTTTTCACGACTCTGCTCCTTTCCGTCCTCGTGCGCACTGCTGTCTCAGAGTCCGCGGCATTGTCAGGGCATCGTGTCCGCATCGTCAATACATCGAGCAGCCACGACGCTATGGCTCCCTCGGCTGGAGTCGTATGGAGTTCTATCCAGAAGGATAAGGAGGCGCCATGGCCTTCGAGGAAGAAGATGGGTATGACACAGCTCTACGGGCAAAGCAAACTCGTATGATTACCCACTGCATACTACAATTCAGTTTGAGGCTGGCATGGTTCTCCATAGTGTCAGGTGTTGTTGTCTAATGAGATAGCGAGGAGGTACTGCGACAAAGGGATAGTCTCAACGTCCCTTCATCCAGGTTTGTGGAGTACAAGCAATTCATTACGCCATTTGCTCACCGACCTCCTATTTTTCAGGCCTCATCAAAACTGAGCTTCAACGAAACTTCAACCCCGTCGGAACTTCCATCACGAAAGCTTTGTTCAGTGACGTTACCTACGGGGCCATCACGCAGCTCTTGGCTGGCACTGCACCCGAGGCGCTCGAGATGAATGGAGAGGTCGGTTGTCTTCACCTATCCTCTCATTTCGCCTGATCCTGGCGACTCCTCGTTCAAACTGAGAGTGGCCCACGGGAGCTGACGGTCTGGTTTGGTCCACAGTACTTGACGGCATACGCGAGAAGGTCGATGGCGAGCAAGAAGACGATGGATGCTGAGCTGGCAAAGAAGGTGTGGGAGTTCTGTGAGAAGGGAGTCGCAGGATCTTGAGGTGGCTTATAGAGTTGATAATATCGCTTACGCCCTGTGGTTTGAGCGGGTAGTTGACCGCGCATGAGGCTCCACTGGGACTGCATTTTCCTTCCTTTACTATACCTTAGGAACGAATCCAGAACCGTAACCCTACATACATCGGATGAGTGGCGTGTGGTTGAGAGCTCTCAACAAAGTCCGAGTTCAATGGTAGTATGCCAGACCACCCAGAAAATGGACCTAATGCCAGTCGACACTCAACACATGGTCGAAAGGCGGGTATGGAAAGGCCGGGGGATATTGCTTACTGCACTCGTCGAATAACGAGGCGTGGACGCTTTTTGGACAGTAGTCTCAGGCCAGGAACACCGGTACCAGGAGCCCATGCTCGATGATCTGATGGCCAAATCATCCCCGCGTGCGAGCAAAAATATACAGGTTGTTGCCTTGACTTGAATAAGTTGTGGTACCCCTAAAACGAACACGCCTCTAAAGTCCAGGACACTGATTGAGTTCCGTATCTTCGTTACTGTGGCATGGTGAAGACATCGCGAAAGGACAGCCCTCTCCACCATCAAAGAGTATCCCACGGAGGTATATACAGAGAGAGAGACGAACTAACAGTTCCTAGACTGCAAAGGAAGGAGCGACTAGACACTCGAATAGCTAGTATTGCACCTTGCTCGAGGACACCGTCCTTGATACATTTTGACGTGGCGAGAGGGATAACTTCTTTTAAGAGTAGGCTAAGCATGAGAAGGAGAGGTATGGTGACCTTTGAGCCTGTGATTCGTGCTATAGAGTGCAGACTTGTCGCGGGAAACCGATCGCTCGTAGTCAATGAGACCTTCATATATGAGAGCGAAAGTGAGAGCATTTTAGTAGGGCATCAAGGTATATTCTACCCTTTATAGGATGTTGTGCTCTCATGTAGTGATAGAACGGCCCGGGGACTATAGCCATGAAAGTATGAGCTCGTCGAGAGTAACGTTTATTGAGACTACTTATACCGCGGAACCGACTTCGAATAGAAGAGAAGCCTTGCCGCGGATCAAGACATGGGGATGTTTGACCATAAAGGTCTGGGAAGTGTGGTTTTAGCCAATGTTTGAGAAGGATGAAAGATGCAAGAAAATCTGGGCTTCAAGCTGCTTCGTAGTACGGAGATCATAGAAGAGCAACATACCTGACACCGCGCGCGCCCTGTTAGTTGCTTGCTAGATGGTCGAAGTGAAGTATCGATTGTCCTGCTTGTTCGTGAAGTTGGTGGATGGTGCAATCAAGGCCCGAGTGACATAGACGTGAGAGCCTTCCGAAGAGGCTCGAGGACAGTGTGCATAATTTGAGGATGATTCCTTCCCGCCGTCGTCGTGGCCGACTTAATGCGAGCTGGGAAGGAAATGATATCCGCGGAGTCGAGTCGGGAACTTCCGTTTCCACTTTTAGATACGCGCTGATTTGCCTTTGTCGGTCAAAAACTTTCCTTCTACCCTTACCTTGCTTACCTTTCACGAGATACAGAGGTACGCAACATCGGGTGTTTCTCTCAACTCTAGGTAGGTGCGCACAAACCGCATCAAAATCATTGTCCAGTAGGTATTATGCATATTTCCAGGGGCCGTCGTAATTACGCCTCCGGTGGGTGGTACCTATATTCAGGCTTGGCACTCTCAAGACACCGCGAAAGCACTGCGTCCCTGGGTGGCTGGATGCAACGAATCCAGCGTCTAGTCAAATCTGGGAATATTCTTGCGAGGCAAGACTTACTCTGGGTTGAAAGACCTGTGCGGAGCCGGCGAAGGTTTCAATTCGGGCGGCCTTCCCTATTACTGGTGCGCTCAGGAGTACATTCAATGTGTATTGTGAGAGAATATCATGACTGAAGGGATCGTGGCTATAGTTCACACGAATATGAATCTCCTAGGCAGATGCACAAGGCTACCGGCCTTCGTGCAGTCTCCAACTATCCCAGGAACCCTTGGCGATGGCCAATGCTTCTGTTCCAAGTACGGGGACACTTATGCACCAACCAACGAACGTCAATTTTATTTTTACTTGCTGTGACGTTTCGTGGCGACAGCCATCTCACGTCTGTCCGGATTCCTGTGCAAGGCTTGTTTCTGTTTGCTCGTCATCAATGTTTCACGGTTGGTATATCTCATCTCCAAATGCGGGTTATTTTTCGCCTTGATTATATAGCGCGTACCACTTGGTGAGAGCACTATCCTGATTTGTTGGGAACAACGTTACCTGAACAGAGGAACTAACTGATTTTGCCCTCTCACGTCCAGATTTCAACGCTGGCAAAACTTGCTCTGAGGCATTTATTGCTCCACTGCGTGGATTACGAACGATTTTTGAAGGGAGCAATGGCTGTATAAAAGCTCTTTCAAGATTTGGCCTCGGTTTTCCAGTCGCGGTTCATTCTATCGCTTCATCTCCCGCGAAAAATGGTGCTTTCCGCTCTCGGCCTTCTGGCTCTTTTGCCATCTGTTTTCGCTATACAACAGAACTTCACATTCGACCTGGTCAACAAGGTGATTGCACCAGATGGCTTCGAGCGTAGCGCCGTTACGGTCAACGGAATCTTCCCGTCTGTGATTTACCCTTTGTGCTATCAATTCATCCAGCTAACATTAGTGTCCATCTTTGCAGTGGTACCCGTAAGTACATATTTTACGTCGCGCGACAACCTGGTAACTGAGTCAGTCTAGTCATCACGGTCAACGCCACGGACACCTTTCATGTACGTGAATGTTATGTAACATGCGCTGAACGTGCAAGTTTATTTTCCCAATTCTCGATAGATCGAGACCAACAACCAATTGACGGATCCTACGATGAGGAGGAGTAGCTCCATTCATTGGCATGGTCTCTTCCAAGCTCGTACGTCTGGTATGGATGGACCTTCGTAAGCATTTCTCTCGGTATCATCCACACAGTGACCTTAACATCGCCATATCATCAGCTTCGTCAACCAGTGCCCGATCCCACCCAACACCACTTTTACCTACGAATTTTCGACCGCCGAGCAGACAGGGTCGTTTTGGTACCATAGTCACTTGAGTACCCAGTACTGCGATGGTCTCCGTGGCAGTCTCATCATCTACGGTAGATCTCTATTGTTTCGCATGTATTCGTTGCCGATCACTGACACCTGCTATTCAGACCCAAACGATCCTCTCAAGGATCTGTACGATGTCGATGATGAGTCTACCATCATCACCTTGGCTGACTGGTACCGTAAGTGCCACCTCATCCTGGCCCTTCGATTAAGCATGTACTGACTGTCTTACAGACGACACGGCTCCTGATGCTCAGAAGGTGTTTTTCGAGACTGGTGTAGTCCCTATCCCGGACACCGGTCTTATCAACGGTGTTGGGAGGTACCAGGGTGGCCCGGAAGTTCCTTATGCTGTCATCGTACGTCAAATTCCACTAGATCTTTTCGTCGTTTGATATATCTTCCCTCGCAGACCGTCCAACAAGGCAAACGCTACCGCTTCCGTCTCATCCAAATTGCTTGCCGTCCGTTCTTCACTTTCAGCATTGACCAACACAACTTGACCGTTATCGAGCTGGACGGGACCGAACACGACCCCGTGACTTTCCAGAATGTCGACATCTATGTTGGTGAGTATCTGTTCTTCATCGACACTGGAGTCTTTTCGTCCAACCAGTACTTTTGACACGATGCCCATTTACACAGCCCAGCGCCTTTCGGTTATCGTCAATGCATCCCAGCCCGTGGACAACTACTGGATCCGTGCTCCTCTCACTGGTGGAGCTCCCGGCCCAACCGGTAACCCCAACCTCAACAACTCGCTCATCAAGGCTATTCTCCGCTACGAGGGTGCCCCCGATGCGGAACCGGTCACTGCCAACGACAACGGAAACGGAACGAAGCTTATTGACGCCTTGATGCACCCTATTGCCCAGGCTGGTCCCGGAAACCTGGGAACAGGCCCGGCCGACTTCGCCATTACCTTGAACGTCTCCCAGCCCAACCCTCCTTACTGGGACATCAATGGTATCTCATACATCTCACCCACACTCCCGGTCTTACTGCAGATGCTCAGCGGCGCCGCGTGTAAGCCTTTCTCTCCCCTGCATACCTCGTCATAGGCTGTGTGCTGATTTGATGCTACAACAAAGCTCCCTTCGATTTCATGCCCTCTGAACAGGTCACCGTCCTTCCTCCCAACTCGCTCATCGAAGTCTCCATCCCCGGCACGGGTGCTCATCCTTTCCATCTCCACGGTCACACCATGGACGTCATTCGTGAGACCAATAACGACACTGTCAACTTGATCAACCCTCCCAGGCGTGATGTTGTCCCGAGTACGTCCTCTCCGCTTTAACTTCGGCCGGCTGTATAATAACTTGCGTCTCTTTCTGCAGTCAACGGCGGTAACACCACCTTCCGCTTCTTCTCTGGCAACCCTGGTGCCTGGTTCTTGCATTGGTACGCCTCGTCCTTCCTTGTCTTGTCGTTTGTTCTTGGTGTGCATGCGCTAATCGCGACCGTGCAGCCACATTGACTGGCATTTAGAGGCCGGCTTGGCCATCGCCTTCGCCGAGGCCCCGCAGCTCAATATCGCCGGGAACCAATCTCAAATCACCCCTGCGGATTGGCTGTACGTCTACTAGTTCTTTGTCTTGTCTTACCCTCAAATCACTCACGTGGAATACCTTCGATAGGAACCTCTGCCCGTCCTACGACGCCTTGTTGCCTGAGTTCCAGTAAACTTGTGGGTAGCGAATGGTCGGAGTGTCTGAGAGGCTTACTTATTATGGAAATTCTCTTCGTCGTTGTCGAGCCTCGTTTATAGTCCCGTCTTGGTTCCGTGATCGCATGTTTTATTTTATTCCAGAAAACGTTCATTTATCGCCGCAATCAAATCCAGCTTCATCTCGTGCATTATTCCTTCGCCAAGTCCTTAAGCACTGATCCAGGGTACTACCCATCCGAGAGAACCAGCTGAAAATATGTCGTGTGATTCTCCGAAACAAGGGCGCGGGTGTACGACCTTCAAGGAAACTTGGTGGGGACAGTCACTAATAGTAGATGAGGGCGCATGTTCGCAGCTCAAGGCGGGCAGAGGTCTGTGCGCAACAGATGGTCTGAGTGCGACCGCAAGACCAGATATAACTGCACAGGCTTGACTAGCAGTTTGGAGATGGATTGGCAAATATGATAAACGGCCATAGGATGAAGAAAATAAGAATAGCACAAGGACGTATGAAAAAGCCGAGGACAAGGTAATTGGAAGTACATGCACCACAAGGGCTAAGAACCACACGCTGGACGTCAGCCGATCACTATAGACGGACGACGCCAGGACATGATGTTACAGGATCGCCTCGAAAGGAAAGTGAACACAGATCTAAAGCAAGAAAACGAAGCCACGAAGAAGAAATAAAGAAAGAAAAAAAGGAATTACAAGACGTGTAGTAAGTGCACGTAAGTACATTGACGACAGGTGTTGAAAAGACAACACACTGGACATCAGTCGATCGCTGGAGATGGACTGCGCCAGGACATGATGATACGGTATCCGGTAGCACTACAAAAAAGAACAAACAAGGCAAAAAAAACAAAGCACAAAAAGAAAACAGAAATATAATAGAGGGGTGAAGGTGAGTTATACACGTACATTGACCACAGGTGCTGAAAATGCAACACACTGGACACCAGCCGATCGCTGTAGATGGACTGTGCCAGGGCATGGCCGTGTGTATAGGATCACTACCGAAAGAGATAAAAAAAGAGCCGCAAACCGAGGGAAGAGCAAAGCACGAGATAAAAGAGTAGGTGAAAGAGGAACTGGAACGAGTTCGTAGACCATAGGCGTGAATAGGGCACGCGCTGGACACAGCCGATCGCTGTAGATGGACTGCGCCAGGACATGGTCGTGTGATCGCTACCAAAAGAAGAGAAAAAAGGCAGCCGAGAGTAAAAGAACGCAGTACGAGAAAAAAAGGTGGATGAAAGAGGAACTAATATGGTTATGTAGACCACAAGCGTGGATGGGTCACGCGCTGGACACAGCCTATCGCTGTAGATGGACTGCGCCATGACATGGTCTTGTCACCGATACGAGGAGAAGAGGTATAAATTGGGGATAGCGAGCGTCGGTCACACTGCGAAAGCGCAAAGAAAAGTGTGGCCGGGCTGGTGGGACGTGGTCGCAGTACGCGAGAGGAGGAACCAACAATACGATGCGATCGATGTATGGGGGAAGCAAACGGGTCGTAGGAGCAGAGAACACGTGTATGACTGTCCGGTCCACGAAGACGATGAAGTATGTAGGCGTAAGAAAGCGCCACACGAGACGAGCCTCGGAAGGGATAGCTTCCGAAGCCAGCCGATTGCTGGGGATGGACTGAATCGGGGAATAGGCCTCGACATGCATGTCGGTAAGCCAGGCAGGCCTGACACGCTCGTGGTCACTAGCTTGAAGTGGTGTGAACGGGCTATGGTACGGTATCGTGGCCCAAGACGTTGCAGGGACGAGGCCGGCCGCAAAGAAACCGTGGGCGCTGACGAGGACTGTCTTTGCTGCGGTGGTATCCTTACTGCGACAGCGAGATGAGAGATGCAGGGGCCTAGCAATGTGATCGACGAGGTCGAACTCAAGACAGTGAATGGTGGCAACTGAGGATGAGAAAGTGACGGCGGTCAGGGACGGGAGACGAAGGGGTAAGGCTCAAAGCAGATACGCACATGGTATGACAAGCGTCTCACGGAGTATCGAATCCGAAGAAGAGGGCATTGACACTGGAGCGCGAGCAAGCGGGACGACGACCGCTCAGCGGAGTTTGGCCAACAGGAGTGTCGACTTCGTCAACTGCGAGGCAGAAAGGTGTTTGCGAGGCGATTTCACAGTGATTGGTGAATAGACGTTTGTTTTTGTAAACTAAAGTTTCGAAACGAGTTTCTGCCGTCCGCTTGAGACCCGCAATGGAGTGTCGAGCCTTCGCGACATGTCTATAAACTACGGAGAAAATGTCCTCGCCCTCCGATGTGCGAGGTGGGTCACGTTGAAAGACGGCCCATTCTGACCGTGCAAATGGCACATATATGTCTTGAGGAAAACATTCCAAGAATCGGGAGAGCACGACAATTCGGGTCAGGTAAAGGGTGTAGAAACAGAGCTCGGCCATGGCAGCGCGGCGTGATATAGCTTCAGGGCTGAGAGTCGCAGTGTCGATGGTGGCACCGAGCTCCTGGATGGCGAGGATGAGGTCCTGTGACATGTTACTCTTGCGAGCTTCTTCTACTGTTTTGTTTGGCGAATATGAGAAATAGAGACCCCAACATACGCTTACGCCGTACATGAGCTCCAGAGTCTGCTGTCCGGGCTTCGGGGTTCGATATGGTCTATAGAAGAGTAGGTTCGCCTGAATTAAAGAAAAGAGGATAAGAAGGGTAATTGTCAACGCACTTCAGCCCTACGAATATGTCCCGTACGCGATTACGTATAGAGAAGCGGGGAAACGAAAGCTCCTCGAGTGAAAGAAGATCGTAATGAGTATGGCGTGTTGGTGCCCGGTGCGAGGAGCGATGAAGTACTGCCGAAGGGATGAACAAGGGCTCTAATCCAGCTAAGACCGCGTCAATGGATGCATCGAGGTCGTCATGGAAGGCACCTGAGATTCCTCAGTGAGTGCAAGGATAAGTCAGATTGAGTAGCTGCACTCACGATGGTTACAAAATTCATGAAGTTGGTGAAAATCCTTGCGAAAAGCAATGACGATATCATCGAGGTCTGGGTACTTATCGAGAGCGGCCAGCGTCATGAGATCATCGGGCTCGTCGCAGGACGATAGACCCAGCGCTCGCCCATAGGTATCAAGGCCCCCAAAACAAAAGAGGGAATGTCTCCTCCATAGCCGAATGATCATAGCATCCCATACTGTGGACAGACGAGTTTGCTCGCGTTCGGGAAGTTGTCCCCAAGGCACATGCGTGCGTTTAAACGTCATGCCGGTAACCGAGACATCAACAGGAGGACGAGTGGGGATTCCTGCCAAAGGATGAAGAGGAAGGGGAGTTGCGGCGGTATTGGAACTTTGGATGGGAATACGGCGGGTTTCGATACGAACGGAGGTGCGAACTGAAGAAGGAGCAGGGCTACGAGCTTTAGGGGAAGTTGAGATAGGGGCCGTGAAGAATGGCGAGGTAGGCATTGATCCACGCGCAGGAGGTCGTACGGGGAAGCAGGGGGGAGTAGCGGTTGGATTGCGAGGACAGGTCGCTGCAATGTTTCTTCGCATACGATCTGCAGTCATCCTAAGACAATAATGGCTCTGTATGGCGATGTCTGGCCTGGTAGACGAACGGCTCGCGTGTTTCGAAGGTGACGGTGCCAGACGATAACGCTTTGCATGGGGTTCTTCGGAGACATCGACGTCGAAATCGTCGACGACAGTGAGGCGTCGACGCTTCGCGAGGACGGGAGTCGGAGAAGCGATTGAGGTGTAAGCCGGGGCTGGAGCGGGAATGGGAGCTAGGATAGTCGGATTGTGTGTTGCAGCGGTATTCCTTCTAACGCGATCCGCGGTGGTCCTGAGCGAATAACGGCTCTGGGTAGGGACGGCCGCCCTTGTCGATGAACGAGTCTTGCGTTTCGGTGGTGGGGATGTGAGATGTCGCTGGTGGTGACGCTTTGCCGGTGGCTCTTCACAGATATCGGCTTCCAGAGCGTTGCGTGGACGTTTGGTGGGGATGCGGGTTGTCGGAAGGATTGGGGCGGGAACTGGGGTTGGAATGGGAAGGGGAGCCGGTGTAACTGGGATATGAGCTAGATTTTGTGTGACATTCCTTCGTGCCCGCTCTGCGGTTGCCCTCAGAGAATAGCGTCTCTGAGTCGAGAGGGCTGGCTTCGTCGAGAGACGCGCCTTACGCTTCGATGGTGTGGCCGTCAGATGTCGCTGGTGATGTCGCTTTGCTGGCGGTACATCTGGGCTATCGACATCTTCGCGTCGACGTTTCCTTTCTGTGCAATTCTGTATAGCTTGAAGTGGATACATCGTGCATAGACTCAGACTGGATTGTCCAAGCGTGAAAGGAGGTATGCGGTGGTCGAGGAGAAAGGAACTGGGCACGTGGCATGACGCGAGCGCGTCGGCCGAGGCGTCCCGCTTTTCCACGGCGCCACCGTGTCCGAAGGTCACGTTATGTGTCAGGCTCGACCGTTATCTTCCTCGCTTGCTTTATTTAAGACGACAGAGACGCGGAACGATCCGAAAACCCAACGTCGGCCGGTCAAAGTTCTCGTGTCGCCTGCTCTTGCTTTCTCGCCTCTCCTCTCTTCCACCATCACCCCCGGCCTCCCCCTCAAGGACTCGGTAACTCTCTTGACTCTCTCGCCTGCTCGCTCTCTCCTTCGACTCTTGGAACACGCCATGTCTAAAGGAAAGCGGACAGTCCGCAACTTTTCCCCTCCTCCCCCACGGGCATCAAAAAGTCGACGTCGCCGTGGTTCTTCAGAAGAGCTCGAGTTTTTCGCCGGGCCGACTGGGCCTTTCGCTCAACGGCTTCTTGACAGTCGACGATCCCCTTCATCTGAGCCCGACCCTCTTGCCCAAGTTCAATGCGTGTGGTCACCTGTAGCAGTGTTCGACGCTCCGCTTCCACCCACTCTAGCTACTACGTCATTCCCACAGGCTGTGGTAAGGGCACCATTCGCTCGTTTCTTCGTCCCCCGATGGGAGAGCCTGTCGGACAATGACAAGGCAGTGTACGAGGGAAGGTTTCGACATCTGATGACGGTCGCAAAGGATGTTATAAAGGGACCATCCCGAGAGTGGAGGTACATCCACCCACACCGTTTCCTCAGACACTTTGCAATACATCGTACGGCAGATGAACAGGATGCCTCTTTGCTTCTGGATGTTCATACAAGTCTTCAAACATTGATAAGGCTCTTTCAAGACGTGTTAGGGGAGGAGAAGGACTTATCTGTCTCACTACCATACTATCATAAACTCGTCCACCATGGCAAGTCATTCCTTAGCTCCTATAAAACCGTTAATATTGACTCGAACCGTAGAAGCGTGGTCAGATCGACCTTACATATCAGAGGCCGTTCCCATCCGTACGTCCACTCCATCATCATCCCTGTACAATGATCTGATATGTTTCACACCAGCCGCTACAGTTGTACATCAGCCAGCTATGGCAGCACCTTGTAAGCTACACAATTCACTCTCGCCCAACTCTGCCCCTGTTCTGACCAAATGTGGTAGATACGCCCAAGAAAGACGGTCCCGAAGTCACCCAAAAGAAGATAGACCATGTTTTTGTGGACTACGAACCCTTCTTCCATAGGCTCATGTACCATCGACTATCTGATGACTACAGTGGCGGCGAAGCATCACTCTTCATGCAGGATGCGTTAGAGTTGGATTCTGAAGCCCTTAATCATCGGGTCGCTGGTACCTTCGTCCAGGGTCAGATCACGTAAGTCCATTCTTTTCTCTGCGTCATGGACCACACTGATGTTTTTGAAGGGTAATCAACGGTAGTTCGGGAAGCGGAAAGAGTCTTACGTGTGCAAAAGGCCTTTTGAAATTTGGCGGCATCCCTTTAACCTGTCCGATTGGAGCATACGGTGCGTTGTCCGACGAAGCCAACGCGGGCCGTGGCTCTCATGACATGCGGGCCGCGGTAGAGCACCTGGAACAGCGGAGCCAATTCAAGCAGATCACCGCCGATCCTGAGCAGGAAGCTACTAACCGTCGTCTTGTCAAGGAATCCTGCATGTGCCTGCTTGCTAGTCACCTCTTGGTCATACGCAAAATTCTTTGCAGCCAACCGCACGACCTGTCTTGCGAGAAGCGGAAGGAGGAATGTGGTATTTTTCAGCTGGATGCGATGTTCTTTCGCCCGACTCCGGGGGGCCAGGACATTTTTCAGCGTCTATTCAAAGTGCTCCAACGTGCCCCACACGACGTCGTCGAGGACTTCGTGGAGAATGACTGGGAGTATGTCGATTGTCACTACCCGGATGTCGTCAAGGACTTTTCGCTGTGGGTTGACGAGGCACAGGCCTTGGCATCTAAGTTCGACTCTGGCGCGCACTTTCTCTCCACCACCAAGCCCAAAAAGCCTCGACCGCTTCTGACCCCGGTGGTAGAAATCTTCATGGAGCGCAAAATATTCAAAAGATGTGTGATCTCTGGGATCAGCGTGTCGCCGCAAATCTTCAATGTCGCCCTTCAGTCTTCGACGGCTCGTTTGAACTCGCGTATCGTGGAACTCACTATAGCAGACGGATTTTTGGACAAGGAGGAGCAACGGCGCTATATAGTACACAAGCTCCGGCCCTGGGCTGACGAGATTGGTATTTCCGAGGAATCCTTCGACTACCTCGTCCTTCGCATGACCATCATACTTCGTGGTCGGTGAGTGTCATTGCATTACTCTTCGCTTGTATGAAACTTTACTCATGAACATATCTTCGTTTCGTAGATATCGGCTCACGGCGTTTTGTTCCGAACAGATTTTGCGCACAGGAACAAAATCTCCTCACCGATTCGTCACCGCAGTCGTTCTGGCACTGGGAAACTTTGTTCTTACGGATGGTGGAAAGTTTGAGTCTGCTGAGTCTGCCCTATCAAAGAGAGAGGAAGACGCGATAAAAGCTGCCGGCCAAATGATCGACTGGGACATGTTCGAGGAGTTCGATCAGGGTACGTCGTCGATTGAAATCCTGCATCTTCACGAACTTATCACTGTGTGCGTCCTAGACACCAAACGTAGTGTTTTCGAGATGGTGACGCGCTTTCTTATGCAAGGTCTGTATACTGCACTGGACGGCAATCAGAGGAAGTTAATCGAGGTCGGCATTGGCCACCTCACCGTCGCCGAGAGCATCTCCCCCCGCGTTGTCCCCGAAGGGCCAGTGATCTCCACCAACAATGCTGCCCCCGACGACGGTGCCGACGAAGACAACGACAGCGACAACGACAGCGACGACATTGACGATAACGACGACAGTGACGACGACGACGACGACAACGGCGATACCACCAGTGAACCCCCCCTGATCGTCAACGCCACCACCGACGCCAAAGATCCCTCTGGGGCAGGCGCTGCGTATCTGACCGAGCTCTTGACCGTTAGCGCGGTAATGGCCAAGTACCCCGAGAGGGTGGCTGACACCCTGTTGCAAGGCATGCGTCTTGGACTCAACAACAGCATGAACGGCTTCGCCTACGAACCCCAGATCTCATACGTGGCAGCTAAAGTTCACGGCCACCGGGATAAGTTCACGAGCTTGGGAAACCTCTATCAATTTCACGCGGAAGTTGCGTTTATGGCGGATCTTCAAGTCCAGCTCGTTGCCATGTTCAAAGGGCCAGATGGTAAGTGGCGCGCCACCCAAGCTGGTCCCGGTTTCGGACCTTCCCCCCAGATGGGCTATAAGGTCAACTCCCCCAAGGAATTCCTAGAGCATTTGGATGATGGTGGGGCAACATGCATCGTCAATCCCGATGTTTATCATGGCGGAGATCACATCAGGTGGTACAAGGTCTTAGGGAGCAAGCACTATATTATGGTCGTGGACCAAGCCAAGCTCTCCGCCGGGAAGGATGGCGAATTTCGGCCGGAAATGCTGAAGAAGGCTCTGCGAGCTAACGACCCCAGAAGATACTACAAAACCAAGGTGCGCATCCATTTCGTCTTCATTTTCGCTCTTGTTCTCGTTCCCGCTTGTCAAAATTTTCCTTACCTTCGTTCGAAATATTCAGGGTCCATCAAAGAAGAGGAAGTGGCTCGTCAAGGAGGGCAAGAAGATCCTCAAATGTTTTGAGGAGATGCGGAAGGCAGAAGACATCGATTCAAACAACAAGTATGACCCGGCCCTTCTGCCACCAGGGCTCACAGAGGAGAATTTTCCCCACACCATCTGTGGTTTTGCGCTCACAGGAACGGACCAGCCTCCCGCAGGGTTCGTATCTGAGATGCACAGAGTCTTGAACCGTCCCGGCCAGGTTCCAGCTTTGATGTTGGAAGAGCCTTTCGAAGAGCTCTTTGGCACGTCTTGGCGGTTTGCGACCACCGCCCAAAACAGGGCCACTCGTCCGGTGGGGAGAATGTAGGAGAGCGCTACTGCCTAGAGTCGCATCTATCTTCTTTCTACTGCTTGTCGTCGTGGTTGGCTGGTTTTATCGCGAATGGTTGAGCCCTTCTCTGTTTCTTCTTCTCGTCATTCCTTCTCCTATGCTATGAGTACCAGTCGCACTTCGTATGCTTCTTCATTTTCCACACCATGGATATGCCTTTTTATGCTGCTACATCCTTTGATCTTTTGAATATACATATATGCTCTTACATGATTTCCGAGCCCCGAGTGATCCAGCCGTCCGTATACATTCCTTCATCCATTCACCCGAGCCCCCTCCCTCCTGAAATCGAAGCTCCTTCACCACGACAGCCAAACAGCCACCAGCCCCCGCGTTCACGACAACTTACAAGATCAGAATCCCTCCGAGTCCGGGATAGAATCAGAAACTAGAAACTGCCGCCCGCGAACTTCTTCAACCCCGCCTCGGGCTGGTCGCCGATCTTGTCGGCTGTATTTTCGTCCTACGTAGAGAATAAGAATGAAATCATGACAATAAATAGTTGTATAATGTTGCGAAGAGCGAAGAGCGAGGGAGAAGAAATATGTGAGATGGTGACTCGGACGAGTATCAAGCTACGCCACAGGGGCGAGTGGCGCCACACACCCATAATACCCGTACCAACGAAAAGAAAAGACAGAAAGGCTACGTATACGCACGATGTTGTATCCCGCCTTCTTCGCGGCGTACGCAAAACCTTTATCAGCCTATTCTCCGCTCTTGCCGCTCGACTGGTGCGTGGCGCTACCCAAGTTATCGTTAGAAGAGCCGTAGGAGTCGCTATTGTCGTTGGAGGAGCCGTAGGAGTTGCTGTTGTTGTTCAGAGCCGTAGATGTCATTATTGGCGAGACCATGTGCGGTCTTGTTTGAGGACCCGTATGAGTCTTTGCCGTTGAATCCGTACGAGTTGGAGTTGTTAGTGGAAGAGCCGTACGAGTCGGTGTTGGAGAAACCGTAGGCAGCCTTGTCAGAGGAGTCGTAAGAGTCGTTGTTGTTGGAAGACCCGTACGAGTCTTTATCGTTGGAACAGTACCAGTCGTTGTTCGGGGAGCCGTAGGTATTGTCATTGTTGCCTGACGAGCCGTACGACTCGAAGTTGGAATTATCGTTCCCGCCCCCTCCGCCTCCGCCAGACCCGTACGAGTCGGAATCGCTCTCCGACGAACTATAGCCGTCGCCATCCCCACCTCGAGTCCTTCTACCGGACTTATATGTGTTGTTCCATGTGCCGCCGGAAGTATACGAGTCAGACTTGTCGCGTCCGCGGCTACCTAGCCTTCCGGAGATACCGTACGAGTTAGAGTTAGAGCTGGAGCTGGCGTTGTTGGGTCCGTCGTACGAGTTGTTTCCTCCGCCGTAGGAGTTGGCGGTTGTTGGACATGATTCGGAGGGTGGAAGGAAGAAGTGGTGGCGAAAGCCATGAGTGAAGATGGCGGCGGATATTGAGAGTGAGTGGACTGTTTCGTGGAATGAACTGGGGCCTGGGTGTGGGAGAGATGGGGGGTTTGGGGTGATGCCTACACGACAAAATTTATACTAGTTCAGGAGGGCGTCGCATGAGCGTTCCCGTCAGGTTTTGTCAACGCGTTGAATTAAGTGTGGGTGAGGAAAACGGGATAGTCATCGGGACCAAGATCGTGGAGCATGTAGATGTGCTTTGACGTCGGGTGCGATAAAGGGCGGGGACTAGAGTTAGACTAGAACGATACTTAGAATTTCATGTTATGGACCGGCATGGCTTTGAAGTTGAAGAAAGAAGGAGATGTGGGACACTATCAGGCGGTGCGTCAGTGCGTCGCCGTCTAGGAGTTCATTCGAGGAACAGGACAGAGGCGCTGGTTTCCGTCAGCGATGTCATTTATTGATTGTGTTCAAGTTGAAAGACGCACAAAGACGAGGATGGCTGTGAAGAGGACAATTGTTTTTCTCTTAGAGGCTGTTGCTCATTGCGTGTTCTATCAAGGAACGACGACGAGCACGCTTGCGCAGCCTGCTCAGCCCGAGCATACTTACTCTGATCAATTGTCCAATCTTCGGGGTGACATGTTCTAGCAAAAGTCTGGATAAATTAGAAGAGAATAGTAAGCATGCATACCAAAACGGCCGTGGCAAATGAGCAAGGGTCTGGAAGGTGCCATGAAACAAATAAAGCAGAGAGAAGGAGGGAGAGATAAGATACATCTCAGGCTGGACGTACCGAACAACCGAAATAAGAATGCGCACATTCCAGGAAAGCAGGAGATGAAAAAGAAAGAAAAATCGAATTAGCTCAGAGATACTAAGAAGGAGCGCGCCCCAAGCACTGATGTCGGTGGGCTGCTTGGCTTCGCCGCCGAGTCGGAGCCAAGGCAGCTCACCGCATTCGTGTTGTCCCAAGTGCCGGATAGGAAGGGCCGGCCCCTGCCGGCCCCGACGCATGCCACTGTGGCGCCGAATAGGACCACAACTGTGACGCGTGCGGAATGTCTGGCTTACAGTGATCGATTGTCATCACTATAAAGGTCTGTGAAGGAGACTATGTCTGGCTCCTTCGACCACGTCGCCACGACCGCCATGATATACCTTAGCCTTTGAATTCTGTTCTGGGCGATCTGCAAGCGAATCTGAGCACCCTCACATCAGACCCCGAGAAAAAGAGATAGGGTGAGCCCAAGGTGAGCCGAACATGAGCCGTTACTCGTGATCACCAAGGATGACCCTCGCATAATTGCAAGTGTAGTTGCTAGCACACCACTCGCGTTCTCCTACCACTCCCCGCTCACGGATCACTAGGCTCTTAGACGTATCCTCTGCGTCGCGATTCCACCTGCTAGAATGTCTTTGGCTGCGTACTTGCCGCATGACCCCGTACGCATCAAACGAGTGATTTGCATCTAGGACCTCAGAGTCTTCCACTGACACTGTCCCGATACACGAACGAGGACAGCTTTGACGACAATTCCCCAGCTTACTTCAGCCGCCCGATAGACGTAGTTGCTCGCTTCTCACAGAATCTTCCTTGTATTCTCCTCATGAGGAGTTCTCCTTGGCGTTCAAGAAATGATTTAGCACCGTCAACGAGGATAGCTTGGAAGATTTCCCCGCATATTCAGCACACAAGAAGTACATGAAGGGAGGATCGAAACGGACGCGGAAGGATAAAAGGGATCGCGCTCACGACATCGCTCCAATCCCTTCACCCTGCTCTCCATCCTCAAATCTGCTTTCCGAGCGTCTTTAAAGCTCTAGTCCTACCCCTCCCTCTCACACCCTCACTCATCATTCTCGACATACGCATCAAGTTACCATAACCCTCTTCTCCCTGCCTCTCCGTCTCCCTATCTCTTCGCCCTGATCTGGTCTCCACAGACGTCCATCCTCATCTCATCGAGAGGGACGTTCACAGCGAAGACATTGGGAACTACGGGAAGGCGAGGACGAGAAGGGACGAGATCAAAGTGGAATTGACTCCAGAAGACAGAGAGATGAAGACTTTGAAGACGGTAGTGACGGTCAAGGAGGAGACATAGATCAGGAGGTTAGCGGCCAAACGAGACCGAGGATGGATGATGATGAGCTAAGTAAGAGGTTCGAAAGTTCGGAAGCTTGACCTATGTTTCATTGAGCACGTCTCGTCTCGTCACCAAATTGTAACAGGCCGCAGATATCATTGCACATAAATAACAATGATCGCGTATGACACACGTATGAGATAAGAGCTGAACGGGAGGAACGTGTACACGAAACCCTCCGCATCCACAGAATGCGTGTCGACCACCAAAATGAGTACATCCACTGCGAAACCCGACCGCGAGATGACTCTACCCGGAGGTAGGCAGACAAAGAAGCAGATACGACACGACGCACAAACTCGGAAACACATGGAATGAGACGGAACATCGAGGACACTAATAATTTAGTAACAGTACATTCTCCGAGTCGGACTCGGATCCCCGTGCCAGCATCCGGGAATTATACACGACCCAAGGACCAAAAGAACGTGGTAGTAGTCGTACAACAGAGAGGAAAGAGAGAATACAACAAAGAAACGAGTGTAATGGTCGAAAAGAACGCACTGGAAGAACCGGGACGGATAATCACAACACTAACAACCACAACAATATGAATAAAATAATAATGATAAACCCACGAACTTCAATGCTCAAACATTCGACGCCACAAACGCATTGAAATTCAAATACGCCGGTGCGACCGTCGTGAACTCCATTCCGGTCGGAGTGAAGGTCGTCACCACGGCCCCGTTCCTCGAGATCGTTGCCTCGACCTGACAAGTCGTGGTCAGCGGGAGCGAGAGCTTGTTTACTCCAGCGCTGAGGTTGGCTGAGGTCGTTTGGGAGCCGCAGCTGATGGTAGCGGAGCCGGAAGATTCGGCGAAGATGACGGCCCAAAGGGTGTCGGTGGTCTATGGTCAACACAAAGAATAACATATTAGATGGATGGGATGGATGGATGAGAGAAATGTAAGAATGCATACCCAGTCGGCGTTAGTGGGAATGGGAACAGTGTCGAGAGTTGCGACGGCAGCCTTGGGATACAGTCTTCCCCAAAGATAAATCTCATCCTTGGTGATGGCGGGGTAAGTGCCGGTCTTGTAGGCGGTGATGTAGTACGACATCATCTTTAACCAACCTAAGGGTGGAAAGGAATGAGACCCATCGTCGTGCTGGTATGGTAGCAAGATAGGATGAGGCAGGCTATACTGACTGGTATGGTCGTAACCAGTGACCCACTCGTCGCTATTCAGGGGAAGAGACCCTTTGATGCCGGTGACGTACGAAGACTCAGAGTAATCGTTCCAGGTAACTACACGAACGAACCACCGTGTCAGCCGCAGCTCGCATCGAATGCTGAGGCTGAGGAGCAGAGGTGAAGACAACTCACCAACTTCCACCATATCGACTAAGTCACGGTTAGTGACAAGTTCTTCCCAACGGTTCGCAAGCAGCCAGTCATCCGGACGGTAGATCCAATTCTTGTTGTAAGTGTCCACGCCATAGTGCTATACGCCCAACAATGATGTCAGTGCCTGCCTGATAACTGGACAGGGGCATGCTCACAGTGTAGAACCACGGGGAAGCAGCCGCGACATAGCCCTTACCGCTGGGCGTGTCTCCAATCCAAGTCGTATCGGAATCGAACGAGATATCGGTATCCGTCAAGGGCCACGCGGAGTTCCACTGCAACAAATTCAGTGCCCTATAACGTTCAATAAGTACGAAAGCAAAACAACGTACGTTGAAAGCAGCGTTCACAATATCCCATGTTGGCCAGCCCGTCGACGAAATATCAAAGAAGCCAGGTGCAAAATAAAATCCACTAGCAACCGTATTCCACCCCGCCTCTCCGAACCCGCAATTCTCACCATCGAACGTACTCAACATCGGCAACGCCGTCCCGTCCGTGCACATCGTCAAATACGCCGCCGACGTCGAATGCGCGGTGGCGAGGGCACGGAGGTTGGTGACGTCGGAGGAGGTAGCACAAGTCAAAGAAGAGACGTCGAGGGAGATCATGAGCTTGAAACCGGTGCTGCTGGCTTCCGCGGCAGTGAAGGCGTCCGCGATGCGTGCGGGCTGCCAGTCGTCTACGCCCATATTGAGGACGAATCCATCCAGGCCTTGCGCGGCGGCTTCGGCAATATCAGAGGCCCAGTCAGATTCGGTATACGCGTAGGTATAGCTGTGGTGCAGGGTATCAGGGACATCGCATGGGCAACATAGGTAGGATGTTGGACACTTACCCGACCATATGATGCGCGACGACCAGCTTTTCAGTGGTACAGGCCCGCTTGTCCCAGCTTTCCGTGGTATTGGAAGGTGTGGGCATTGCAGCCGCAGAATAAAGGAGGCTGGCCACAGCCAAACCGAGTGACCCAAACAAGCCCAACATGCTGACCTATAGATATGCAGACAAGGAGAGGAAGGGACAGAGGGATCCCAAGAACTGTAGAGGCTCTCTAGAGTGGAGGAAGAAGAACACAGCATGTCCTTGCTTAAATACGAAAAACCAAACCCACATGAGCTTGCCCCGGGGGCCGCGCACAAGCGGGTGCTCCAGATATGAGAGATTGGGAATATCATTAGCGGTAGTTGCATCAAAATGAGCTGTAAGGACAAAAGCTGGCTGCAAATCTTGCAACAGGTAGGAACGGTTATCCTAACGCTGCGGGAATGCATGAGGGCGAGGAGACGAACCAAAGAACATACCACGCGGAAATTAAACGCAAACATGGGCGGCTGAGATGGGAGGTACCATACTGCATGGCGCAGGAACATCATAACAGGGAGATGTATGGCCCCGGGACTCTTCAGCTGAACATCAAGATAGGAATAATGGGATAATATAGTATGACCCGGGTAGCGGGCGAACAAGAAAGACACAGGCATGCGTGAGGTGCAAAGCAAAGGGGACAAAGAACAGACCATCAAGCAGGATCAATCAATCTCTATGACATCGTCTTCCACCTTCTCGTTCGGCTCGTCCAACAGAACGAGCCCGTCGTCCTCCAGCCTACGTTTCTTGCTCGGCGTATAGAGTTTCGCATTCATCACGGAACCATTCGTAGCCGTTTTTGCGCGCTTTGAGGGGTGTGGTTGCTCCTGAATTTCATCATCATCTGGTGCGGACCGCTTGGTCGCGGTCGGTGCCGATAGCGTTGCAGAGGGAGGTGGAGGCGTGGAGGGCGGTGGGGCTTTAGGTTTTCCGCGGAGCTCTGGCAACGTATCTGGCAGAACCAATGCGGAACCATCGGCTGGGTGACCGACACTGATTCGTTTAAAGTCTATCAGTCCAACACCGTATGTATCTCACTTGCGAGCTATCGAGATGCTTACGGGAGATTCCCGACCGCAATGGTGATAGTCTCGTACTCGCCGTCCTCGTCGACGATGCTCAAGAATTTGCCGGCGGTGACGCTGAGACTCTCAAGAGTGCGCTCGAGATTGTCGTCGAAGTCTGGATCACTGAGCATACGTTTGTCTTCGTAGGTACTGACTTCCCGATCTTCGGTGCCTGCTGGTCGGAGCCCATCAATGACCTCCCTCAGCGTCACTCGCGCCGGGTCACATTGGATCTGAGAGTACACATCTCTACAGACACCGCATTGAAGATTAGGAGGCGAGAGGGTGATGGAGCTGAGCGGAACCGTGGGTTTGAACTGCAAATGCACATTCTTCAGCGCGTGGTACGACTTGCGTAGTAAATGAAGAGCTTGAAGAACGATCAGGCCGGAAATGATGGCGTTCGTGGTAGCGATAGCTGGAATGATGTTCCCAGCCATTTCTAATAACGTTGGCATTAGCGATGGAAAGCAAGAAGTGCGAGGAGGACACCGTTTCGTACACCCAGGCTGGGTGAATCGAGTGCACGCTGAGATACGGCTCACCTTTGACTTCCCAACGACTTTTCCCCTGGATGCCATATGCAGCTGATCGCAGGTTCGCAGCTGCGGTCACGAAGTCAAGCGTCTCATCATCGTCCTTATCGAAACTAATGGTCTCCTCTCCCGCCCTCAGTCGTCGCGCTAGTCTCTCGGTGCTGCACCGCCACAAAGGTGATTTGCGCCATATGTCAGCTCATGCTCTGGCAGATCATGAAGATGTCGCTGCTCACCTGGTGACGAACAACTCCCAATTGTCCCTTAACGACAGGGCTCTTTGATCTTTCAAGCCTTTTGACGACGTTGTCATACTAGAACTTGAACCAGAACCGTTCGTAGCGCTGCCGTTGGATTTCACACCGTTCACGCCGTTCGAAGCGTTCGAAGAAGTAGGTGCAGCTTCATTGCCATGCAGCTTTGCTTCGCTTGCGAGTGCACCGTGTAGGACGAACCGGTTATCCTTGATAGCGTCAAAGTCGAGCGGCACTGGTTTAGCACGATACCTCCACATATCTTCCATGGAGAGCAAATTCAGGATATCAGCGTGGAAGACCTGCAGAGCGATCAGTGTCAATTGATGAGTATACATTGGAGTAATGAGTCGGGCTGATCGGTCCCTTTATGAAGATTAACGTGCACCTTCTGGAAGACTTGTCTTGCTGCCTCAGCGGTCCCTGTTGGCGAGCGCAGAGCTGCGCGAACCGTTTTGAATGCTTGAGCCTCATTCCGAAGCGTTGCAATCTCCTGTGCTAGAGACCACCATCACGAACGAAATTGGACATCAGCTTCTCATACAGTTTCGCGGTCAAAAGGTCGAGCGATAACAGCTAGCATAGGCCGCCGAAACATAGCTAGGACGAAAGAATCATGGCTCACCATTTTCTCCTTGCTTCTCTGCCTCATCGAGCTCCCCTGTGGCGTCCTCGTCCTCGCCGAATAGTTGACTGTGATGCAGAAAGTTGTATTTCATCAATAATGTGTATGGCGTGCGGTGAGATATGAAGTGACATACCCCATGAGATAGCTTTTGGCCCATACTATGCAGTGAATCGGTTGTGATGGCGTGGAGCGGATGGTGCACACTGGAAACGATTTCGGGGTCGGTTTGGGTATGCAGTCGAAACATTCCGTGCGGTCCTAAACATGTGCACATGGGAATTAGCGCATATTTTGGCGACTCTGACACGAAAATTAGCCTTGACAGCACACATATGAGCAGAAGCAAGCGTCGTATTTTAAAACACCGTAAAGGGTGTCAGGATCGACCGGCTACATGCAACTGGCGCAGAAACCGTAAGAAACAAATCATAGCTCGTCACATGGACATTGTGGCAATCAAAAACGGACTGCGTCCACGAAGAAGCCCTTTCGATATATGTGGCACCGTACCGTGGCGTGTTACTTGAAACTCGCACATTTAGTACCGCAGCGCGAAAAACAATTGAGAACGGGGCGGTCGTGCCATGCTTCTTTCTTCGACTGTGAACGATATCTCTCAATGCCGAAGAACATGAGAGTCGATATAGTAGCATTTCCCGCTCATAATCACGGGGCAGTGTTCGCACATCTTATTGTTCGAGCAGATATACACAAAGAAACATGCACCCGCGAGAAGTATAGCGACGAACCTTCAGTAATGGTTGCACCTGGCCTAGATACCCAGCCGTACCCGACTCGACAGATGGAATGCCACCAGCCATGCACATTTTGTTGACATGCCGACGAGCGTCTATAACCCATTTGAGGAGGAACAGCATGAGTTCTCAGAGATAATTATAGCAAAGGATAGGCGCACCAAGGTTGTCTAAAGCGTTCAACACGATGTCGAATTGCTTGAACCACGTCAAGTCAAATTGTGGGTCCTTGATGTTCCCATGAATCGGATGTATGTGGACGTTTGGATTGAATGCAGCCGCTGTCTTCGACGCGACCTGTGGGACGAGGAGGGATAAACCAAGTTATGAAGGAAACGAGGGCGCCGATAAAAACGCGAGCAGGATCAGAAACATAGCTAAGATAGAAAAATAAAATACGCACCATCGCTTTACTCTGCTTAACATCCTTCTTTCTAAAGAGAAATTGGCGGTTCAAATTTGACAAGTCGATGGTGTCCAGGTCCAAAAGCGTGATATGCCCGAATCCTACGAGAACAATGTTCTTCACTGTGTAATGTGGTCATTGTAAGTGCGAAGCTAGCACATATATAATCAAAAGCGTACAAAGCTCGCAGCCGATGCCACCAGCACCAACCAACAGAACTTTGGTCTGGGGGAGACGATTGTGCAAAGTGGATCCCAGAATGGCTCTTGCGTACGTTGTGCGTGACCCGGTATTATCGAGTGTTGTAGCCATAATTCTCTGCACACTGCTCAACAGACCCAGCTTCTGTTTGAGGTAAGGGAATGAGGGGGATGAATTTGCTGGACAAAAACAGCAGAGCGAGCTGGGCGCGTCGCGGCTCGTGACCGGACGTGATCAACTGTGACACTTTGTGACCTTCGCGTTCATGATCAGTGTCACCCACTCAGCGCGTAGCGACCAGGTTGTGAGAGGACACTTGGACACACAATAACAATAAGAAGAGGAGGCAGACGGAAAAATTGGCATAAATCATTGCAGAATTATTGCACGTCTAAGGCCCGGCAACCGCTACATATACTTACGCTCTCTGATAGTCCCAAGCTAAAAAAGCTTTCAGAGCCGCGGGACGATGCGCCACACTCGCCACCTTCCGAGATCCTCCCGGCGGCTGGGAAGTCAGCCTTGACTTTCAAAGATCCCCTTTTACTTCGGAGCTGCTCGCTGTTTGACTCATCCCCCCGACGCTCCTTGTAAATAAGCCTCCCTCTCGCCCTCATAAAACTTGCTCTCTTTACAACCTAAACCGCCCAGTTCATAATGCCGCTCGCACCACCCCTCAATCTGCCCAAATGGCTCTCCGAGAACGGTCATCTTCTGCGTCCTCCCGTGAATAACTTTTGCCTTTACTCAGGAGGAGATTATGTTGTAATGGCCGTGGGCGGGCCAAATGAGAGGAACGACTATCATGTCAACGAGACTGAGGTGAGTGCTGTAGTAGTACAGACTCAGCGTGGTCCGATCTGCGGCTGATTTCGTACATGCGTTCTCGGGCAATTGGAACACAGGAGTGGTTTTACCAATACAAAGGCGGCATGCTCCTCCGTGTTGTCGATGGGGATGAATTCAAGGATATCGAGATTGGAGAGGGAGAGATGTTTCTCCTACCAGGTACGAGCTTCAGTTTTATCGCACCCTATCGAGCTCTCAAACCCACTTGATGACGTCGTCCCAAACTGTATCATGTCTGCAACTTTTGAAATATATAGCTAATACGCCCCACAATCCCGTGAGGTTTTCCGATACAATCGGTATCGTGATCGAGAGGGTCAGGCCAGCTGATGCCACGGGTACGTCTCTCGCCACATCGTCGTTCCCCGTCCTCGCTGTTGTCCTCCCTACCTGGTATCACTTTGACTTCCGCCTACACCGCGGTGTCTCTGTGATCTCCAATTCTCTTTTTAGATCTGGCTCTCCACTTAATTTTGTCGAATGGCGCTGATCAGTCTTTCTAGACCGTCTCCGCTGGTACTGCCGGCAGCCTTGCCACACGAAGCCCACCATCATCAGAGAAGATTCCTTCCATTGCACTGACCTCGGGACGCAACTGAAGCCCCTCATCCAGACGTGGATGTCGGACGAGGAGGTCAGGAGGTGCGGTGATTGTGGATCTGTGGCCCCACCGAAGTAAAGCAGCATCGGGTGCGTGATAGAATGTTCTGATCGCTGGGATGACTCTTGGAAATCGTGTCTTTTTATGGTCTATGTATAAGAACGAAAGGTGAAAGAGTGTACGTATTATTTGAGAAGCAGCAGAAACCCTGCTTCGGCTTTAGGTGTACATGGGTACAGCGGCGAGGTTGCGCTTTCCTAAAGCTTTTCCTTTGCACGTCCAAATCACCCGAGTATAGATTTATTTTCGTCTCGAGCCCTGTTATGCAATGTGATCTGGATATCGAGGTAGCATGACACCAACGCTAACCCCTTGGAGATTCAAGTTTGACGCTTGAAGTTGCGCAAATCGCCCCGAGGGCAAAATGAGGTGGTCGCGTTTGAATAACCCCTTCCGGCGTCAAGAGTTCCCCGCTGATCCCACTGATACTAGATTTCGATCCTTGAAAGCCCGTTGTCGTGCTTTTTCGCCGGCATCTTCGATGAGGCTTGTGAGCCCAATCTATCACACTCGACAAAACTAACCAACGATAATCCAGGAGAGAACTCAAAGCGTAGGCCTCCGAGGCCCAAGTGAAGGCGACTTTACTTGGCCTTCAGGTTCATTGCTGCCGCCGCTGTGTTCCGGGAACATGGCAGAAGGATGTGAACTGAAAACGGTGCTGTATGGCTCCATCGAAGGACCCCGTTGTGGCCGAAATCAACGTAAATACTTGACACATACGACTGGCTGACCGGGTCGAAGATTGGATATGACGTCTATGCCAAGGGACCGTTACAGATACTTTGGCGAGGGTCCCAGCCAGTGTGAGGTTTCCCGATTATACTGCCTTGACTTAGCGGCGGCTCCACTCAACCTGCTTCGAGACGGTGATCTGATAACTTGCTAACGGACGGTGAGGTTGTGTGGGAGCAGTTTGTAAGAGTCTGTACCATGGAGAGCTTGCGTGCATACGGGACATATATTTATAGAAAGATATAGGAGGATCATATACGGAGCGGGGTCTTGGTTCAGAGGACCTTTCCTATATCTTGAAGACGGGAGTGCTCCAACGTACATGACACGAGCTTGTGACTGCTGAAGGTAGCCTGGACAGATATATATATATAACAACTGACTCTGACAGCACTAGCACGCGGATGCCCACTTCATCGTCGCAGTAGAGCTGTGATATTCATTCCCGAAAAAAATCTTGAACTTCACACGTCAACACACAAGGTTACGCTCAAATCTCTCATATATACAGATCATGTGTCATTGCATAGAGGCGCCTTCCTCTGTCAAGGTGACAAGCAGGAGGGCGTTTTGGACAGATCGACGTCGGTCTCGGGCAAAAGGGAATGTTTCAGCGGCGATCATCCCACATTCCATGAAAACAGTGCGTATCAGACACGGAGGTCAAGTAGATGCTGGCGCGCTGAACGGCGCCGGAGCTTTTTACCACCAGAAAGAGCCAGACAAGGAGTTTGCGTGGGACAAGACTGAAAATATGATGGGCAAAGAAATCAGGTGTGAACGCACTTGGTATACCCGCGGTCGTGTCTGCTGGAGTATAACGGCGGTATAGTCTGCAACTCTCGCCCATTTGAGCTGATGGGCTCACGGCAATTTTCCTTGGCGGCTGACTATAGAGCATGGCCGTTGCAGTAGAGGAAGACCGGAAGGTAGTACGTCCACTCACCTGCTCCCATAATCTCACGCAACATTCGCAGCCCACTCCAATCTCCCAGACATCTTTCGTTACGTGTAAGTCGTGCCCTACTTGCGTACGGTGAGGGCAATGTCTTCGTGAGTGTTTGTGCAGAGTACCTTTAGAAAGCTTCGACTGCAGCCGCTGTAAAATTGGCTGGTGGGGTGAAGCAGCCGCGGAAACTTGAAGAGCGCCAGCAGAAGCATCGAGGGATATGACCGGGCGAATAGCAGAGCAGCAAGGGTGTGGAGACGGTGCCAATGCGGGGCGATAACCAAGCTTTCAATCTCGTTGTGCCGTGCCTTCGCTCCCGGTATTCAAGCCTAGAAGGGTAGCTGGAAGTCTGATATAACCTTCACACGCTGAAAAACGATTGCCAAACGGCGATCGTCTTCGACGGAGCCAGGGAAGAGAGTGGTGTTATGAGTGAGGGCGGTGGCAATATGGGGGCTGTTGAGACAAACTTCGCTGGCCTCGCTGTAATACAGACCTACATGAGTGGTGGCCAAGTGAGACATCCGACCTGTTCCAAACCCTCGCCGTGGTCGATTTGGAGCATTCATACGCATCCTTCCACGCTGTTTGCCTCATTGCACGATTCTATCTTTCGGAAACAGTCAGGGCATCTAGATCAAGATTAATCATCAAAGGGGAGGTCGACGGGGAACTTCATCTATCTTCGAGCAGGACGGACGAACAGTAAGATACAGCGCGTGAACATGTAAGGGCATTTCCAAGACATATTTGCGTCAGCGGCCCAAAACCGATGACGATGAACAACATAGCGGTTGGAAAATGGAGCGGCCGGCGCTCCGAAATCCGGTGGAGTGAAAGTTGCTGTACGAGGTATAGTGGAGTCGAGACGCCTGAAGGACGTGTGGGTGAGCCGATGAAAAGAGCATACGCCTGTAGGCAGGCGCATCTGCGTGTTTGAGCTTGTTTTAGTTCGCAATACGAGGTAAATGGGGGTTGATGGGAATTGAGAAAGATATGAAAGGACGTGGCCGATGGGCAGGAGGGTTGCGGAAGGCAGAATGCGGAGAGGCCCAGGGCGCTGAGCGTCTGAGTTCTAATCAGCGACGTCTGGTGGCAGGTGGTGGCAATCCAAATCGCCGATCCACGACTCGTTCTCTTTTTGTGACCAACGCTTTCAAGGCCATCCATTGAGAACCATCGAACAACCGCAAAGTAATCTTCTAAAGTGATCTGAGGCTTCGCACACCTTCGGATGGGCATTGGATCTGGAGGAGACCAAGAACTGAAGGATTGCTGCCATTGGCTCGACCAACCCCAAAAGCATCGACAGCTCGAGAGTGAGGCCCCTGAAGAACGAGATTTCCTCGAGGTCTTTGTCGTGACCAATTCATCCGTCTCTCGCCTCACCTGGTGCTTACACCGGACCCTTTCATTTATCCGCCTCCGTACTCGATTGACTCGCTGCACCCTTGGAACGTACGAATAAACGAAAAGGCAACCGATGAAGCCACGATAGGGAAGTTGAAAGCAGCGGCTCAAACGGAAGAAAGGGATAGAAGCGAATTGGAGATTGGGAGCGGCACGATGTTTTATCGAGGGTGCCTCGTTAGAGAGCGAAACAAAAGGAAACGACGGGTACGTCTGGTCGACCTTTCTCCATCTGGAGAGACTGTACAGCCCACAGAAGGGTGAATAATCGGTGCTAAGTCAAATGCGCTCGATTATAATCGATGACAGAACGCATGCCGTTGGGCTACGCAAGGTATTTTCTACCCCTTCATCTCCAATTCTCGCTCCCTGCGTAGAATATAAAGGCCCGAGGTCTGAGGGTCGAATTTTTCCAGTCCCCCCATCCCATTCTCCTACGGCCTCTCATGCACATCCCGCCGTGTTTCCTCCATCTCATCAGTGACCTACAACCCAGCACCGTTGTGCGGCACGTATGCCTCTGGTCCCACAGAGTTATACTGCATAACACCGTCCTCATTCTCGAGGCCTTTCGTCATCCTTGTTGCATCTGTGTCGAGCTCATGGTGCGTCATTTGGTGATGCATCATATGTGACATGTTCGATGGTGCTTTGGGCTTGGACACTCGTCAATGTAACGAGTGCTAGTTTAGAATGGCCCATGCAGTTCGCACGAATGTGGCATTGTTGGATACGTCGGGGGGCCTGTGATTAGCACCTTCTCTCAGCCCCTACCTTCTTGTGGTCATGCCCTCGTCAGTGCTCTCTCGTTTATATTCAAGAGCGTCCACTGGCAGAGGATATACCATGGGAATGGAAGAGGCCAGGATCACGGTGTCTAGTCTTGTGCTGTCCGGACGAACTCAGACACCCAGACACCCTCTCTCTGAAGCTGATTGAGCTAGCGTGGCGTGTTAACAGGGATGCGTCATATACACGTTGCGACACCGTAGGTTCGCGGAGTACCTTCTCAAAACCACTTTTTGCCCCGAGCCCAGCAGAAGAAAAGCTTTTCGTGCTGGGGTTCGAGCGCGCGACTTTCTCCCGCCTTGCGTCGCCAACAAAGTGGCAATCATGAATGATGATGACACTCACCAACAGGACATGAGATGTGCATAAAGCCTCTGCGAAGTTGTCATCTTGAGCCGACTGAATAACTTCGAGGCAAGAGTCTTGGGTACTGACAATCTTGAGATGTCCCGATGACGGCGAATCTCGCAGCGACTCTGTCGTTCATCGATCAAATTAAGCTGTACTGACCAAACTTTGGGTTTAGGTTAAATCACATACCACGAACTTTAGAAGGACTAGCTCGGCGGCAGTAAGCTATGAACGCAACACGCTTCGAAGCGTGGTCTGTCCCGGTCTGATTGATGTGCGCCGGTTGAGGCCTGCACAAGAAGGCAAGGGGTGCCGAGCTGGTAAACCGATCTCTTTGCCGGGTGCCTGGGCGAAGGGTGACACCTCCGAGTCGCTATGGACTCGGAGGGATGTATCTTACTATAGTTGTCGGACCTGGCAGGCTGGAGTACGATGCGCTACGAGATATTGGATGGAAAATTATATAGGGAGTTGTTAGAGCTGTTTTGTATACTTCCCGGCTGGCTTGAGAATATGAGAAATCACTGGATGCAAACCGATGCGGAAATTTGCCCCAGGTGGTCACCAGTGGTAGCGCTCACTTCGACCAGTGACAAGCAGCCAAAAGTTTCAAGACTGTGCGACACAACGAGAGTACCATAGACCTTCTGACCGCTACGACTGTATGGATTGGCAGGAGCAATGAATAGGTAGATGAAAGTTGTCGTTCGTAAGATGAACCTGCAGGACAATTTGCTTCCGCTTTGCTTCCGGCGCGTCCAACTTTGGCGCGTTGCCACAGACTTCGTCGTTCTCTCAACTCCCACCATCGATGCCCGCTTCTCGGCCGTGCACTCCCCAAAGGTTGTCTGTTACTTTCTCGTCTCCTTTATCATTGTATCATGCTTGCATCCCATTCTTTCGAAATTCGGTAGGACGGTTTGCCAGCTAGACAGTGCAGAAGGCAGCATTCGGGGTGAAGGCTCAACGAAGTGTAACAAGATCGATTCACAAGTACTCAGGCCAACGAACAACATGACAATTGTGAAGCACTTAATGGTGCAGTATTGACGGAGAAGTGTAGCAGAGTGATGAAAGACAACCTTGACAGATTTGGTGCTCGTGAGTACGATTACTTATGTGCCCTTCATCCAGGCTTGCACACGATCTCCACTTACTTTTATAACTTCGAAAGACTCCTGATCTTCCCTGAGCCGCAAAATAGCTTTGATATGCATTCAACGGCCCTCTCCACGCACACGGACAGTAACTTCGAGTGTCTCACAGACGTACCCCAGACCTATCATCTTCGAGCAAATTCCTACTAGAGTCGCCCCACTTACATTCGAACGAACAGGGCGGTTTGCTACCGCAGAGAGTCGGGCGAGGATTTTGCGCAAGGGTAAGTGGTATTCTGTATGTTACTCAGTGCGGAGATGGAGTAACACCGTCCTGCAGGCGTCGCGGAGTGGTCAACACACCACGAGGATGGCAATTTCTCACTCCGTGAAACTCAGCTTGGAGAGGAAGACGTCAGGCCGCCGACGTGGCACAGGCGAATAGTAGGTCCCCGCTTTTTCATTTCTGATCGTGCGCCTGAGTTCCCCGGATGCAGTGCGAGCAAACGATTGTGGGCAAGCATCTGGTGTCGTCGGCGGAAACGTTCGGTGGCAAAACACTGAGACCCCGGTGTTCATACCGTTTGGTCTGATAGCCGGTCAGTCACGAACAGGGCAGTGGTCCGTTACTGCCACTGACATCGGATGCTTTGGCCGGGGAATTGGGATGTCCGTGACACGATCTCTCGCCATATCGTTGTACGGTTACCAGATATACAATTCAGAGACGGGGGGCCGTTACTCGTGTTCGAGGTCAGCAGAAGTCAGAGGGATCTCGGCAGATCTGTCGCCACACTGTGGCGCCAACGCTTCAGTGCCTTCGACAGTTGCATCTCAGATGTTGACTCTGCACAGATTGGACCCGCGTTGTCCTTCCGCGTCAAAGCAACGAAGTCTTCTCGCGGAGACCATGATGCACGAGAGAAATACGAGAGAAATACGTCTTTGTCTGGACATTTGAAGGGGCTTGGCTCCTGGCCAACTCCTGGCGGTATCTCGACGGCGTCGAGAACCTACATTGGGGCATGCGGTCAGCCTTGCTACGCCTACCTCCATCGTGACTGTACCCTCATTTCGTTTTCTTTTTGCGGTCAACGTTCTCACCCAATTATTCATCATAGGATCAAGGGATTTTTGGGTGATACCTAGTTGAATCAGTGTCACATGGCCGCGGTGGACTGGTTACAGTAAGTATGACAGGACGATCACTGAAGTACAGAGATATTCAAATTCCTTGGGCCGCACAACATGTTTCCAAGGCCACTAGGTTCCAGTGGGATTTTACGCCGTATTTGTGAAGTATAGTGTGGCGGTCGTTGATCGATGATTTATGTGAAGCTAGTTTTTGAAGCACGTGCGCCTCTGTACCACGATACTGCTCTGCGTGAACGGTATACAATTGCTATGCGGTCCAAACCTGACGCACTGAGCTCTCAGAAGATGGCACCGGATTAGCCATTCGAGGACTTGAGCACCAGCCTCGAGTAGATAACGTTTCGGCATACGAGTGAGCTTGAAGTCGTCCGCACTGCTTACAAGTCGAGAAGGCAAGAGGAAAGCAACGAGTCCCGAGTCCACTGGCAGCGCCAGCGTGAACCGAGATTATGTGGCCCGCGGTGCCACTCGCGAGTCGGGTTGCAAAATGTTGTGGCTGGCATCTCGGCCGTGGGAAATGTCGTGGACATCACGGACTTGCCACAGACAGCCTCTCGCTCTTACAACGCACTTGGTTTCGCGGTTTGAGTACTCGAATGGTTACTGGGCGACAGCGACAGGCTTAATATGTGCCAGTGACAGTTTGTTCCTGATCGCTTGTGGAATGCCCTTTGCGACTCGGATTTGTTGCTATAAGCGCCGGCTTGGTCTCTTGTCTTGTCTTTTGTCTCAGTGTCTTGTCTTGCCATGCAGTACCACCCAATCACGACACGGCACAAATATTTCGACGTGTTATTGTCTGGGCCGGAACAATAGGGATGCAAATGGTACATAATGCTCTGGCTCTTCGTCTCTGCTCTTTCTCTCTCCCGTCAACTTCTGAGCCTTCAATCTTGGACTGTGAGACTTCAGTCTGTTCTGCTCGTTGTTCGCAAGTGACGAGCCGTGTCGCACGACACCTATCCGCTATGTACTCCCTGCTCCTTGATATACGTGTCTTCAAATCTCGGGGTTCTGTTCACTCGTGTTATCCATCACTCGGAGCGGGACGCTAGAGTGGGTGTCATTTAGCCTTCCTATGAAGGTACAGGGGGACCCTGTTGGCATTTAGGTTGAACTACACTTGTGTTCATGAGCCCCTTGATTCGTGCGTGTTCAGGACTCGCGAGTAGTCAGTGTCGGTTGTTGGATCAACTAGTGTCATGGTTGGATATTCGGTACGTCCTTACTAATCGTCTAACTTCGGTCTCTAAAACTCACAGTATTGTCATAGGATTCAAGACAATATGAATTCACCATGAAATATCACTATGTCGGTATGTCCTTCCAACTTTGCTTTCCCTTTCAGCCAGGTGACACCGGAGCGGGTAC